TGACTATAATTTAACAACTTTAAATGAATTGAAAGTCCAATTCCGATTAACTTATTTAAAAAAGGAAATTTGTTGTGCAGTCTGATGGGTTAATAAGCGAAACATTTTGTTTTCTTGGTTGGTATAATCAAATATAATAATAGTTATTTATCTTATTAGTGGGATAGAGCCATTATTACAGCACTACGAGTGTGAAGATTGCAGAAGACGAGGTCGTTAGACCGAGTCATCTGTAATCACACGAGTTGCTGTAATATGCTCTAGCTCACGTATGAAATACAAAACTTTATCTACAACTGCCCAAAAATGAAAAAGAAAAAAAGCCGATTAAATTTTTTTATTAATTAAAAATCAAGAATCAAGAGAATTTTTGCAGTGTTATGACAACCGCTCAAATTTGTTGTAAACAACGCGTCAGTTTTTAGAAAAAAAAATGTTGTTCAATCGAGAAATGAGTGATTCTGAAGCAGAAAGCTTGCCTTTCGAAACAGAAGAAGCTGCTACAAACCTAGTGTCTTCATTGTTCCCTGATAAATCAAAAACTAAATACGAAAAACGGTTCACTGACTGGTGTGCATCCAAGAAAATAAATCATGAAGCAAGATAGAAGGTGCTGTTGCCATTTTTTGAAGATTTGTCGAAAAGCTATAAATGCAGCAGCCTTTGGGCTGTATGTGAAGGTACTGAAGGTTATATCGACACTTCGATTGAAAACAAGAAAAAGACCGCTTCTGATATTCTTGGAGGTGATCCTGGAGCCAGAACAAGTACGGCCAGTAGCTACAACCGAGATTCAAGCATTGTTAGAAGAGAAATCTTAAATACTGGAGCTGTAACAAACATTTTGTTAACAAAACCTAAGCATTATGGACAAAGATACAAATAATTTCATTTCATCTGGTATTAATATCAGTAATCGTAAGGAATGTATTATCGACGTGTATAACAAATAAGTTAAGAATTAATCAATGTAATTTGTTGTAATTTACATGTTAATAAAATTCAACTAAGAAGTGGAGACCTTCATTACACCACTAGTGGTGTAATCTTTCTATTACACCACTAGTGGAATAAGAGGGTTTATTACTCAACTCAAACAGTGCCGAATGAGTTGTGTAATAAGGCCTTTATAAAGCAGTTGTTGATAAAAGCATTTTCTATTGCCCGTTGTATATTTAGTATCATTCTATGAATAAGCTATAGTTTTCAAAAAAAAAAAAAAAGTTCAAATTTGCGACATTTTTAACGTTTTTAAATGTAACATCATTTGCAAAATCTTTTTTGTGAATTTATTGCTGTGTATATGTGCATTTTATTGTTATTATAAATTCGGTGTTGAGTGCTGTTTAGGTAGGATCAAGATTAATGAACTTTGGTAACAGTGCATTAAAAGAAAACTTATCTAAGCTAACTAGGTATACTATTTTAGAGTCTTCACCTACTTTTGCAACTTGTAAATATTTTATAATTTTGGTTTTTAATTTTGCTTTAGGTGATAAAAGTTAGGGTCGGATATTACAATTTTAAATTCACTAACATCTGCTTCATTTTATTAATCGTATAGAATATACGATATTATTTATTATATGTATGTATCTATTAATTTCAAGACATTCAAAAGAAAATTTAATATTGCACTTTTATCTGGAATATGAAGTATAAATCTGTCATTTTAAATGAATAATTTTCTAGTATGAAATGGTTAGTACTTATACGTTAAATTTCTCTTAATGTTAATAGAACAAACTTTGTTCAGATATTCTATCTTCGAATTTTCTTCTCGTTTGATCTATACGTATATGGAAGAGTTTCCATAATTTAACAGACTTCTAGAATTTGAATTTTTATGCGAGTTGCCTATATTCAAATTTGTTCAAGAAATTAAAAGTTCTAAAAACGTTTTCATTAGAGGAAAGTCACCTATTATAGGATACTTTTGTGTACAAAACTGTTTGTTCTTTAAAAAAATTAAAGTCATCTAGTTATAGTTTGAGTTTCAAAATTGTCATTTCCTACTTCATATTGGGCAACTTAGTTGCCTTTTATGGGATATCAATATCGCTTAATGTGAGGTACAACTAATTCAAATTTGGAAGGAAAGGTCAAACATAGTCTTCTTTTTATCTTATCATTTTTTGTTTGTTTGTTTGTTTGTTTGTTTGTTTGTTTCTTATAAGTACATATGTTTAGTTAGAGATTTGTGCTCCTTTTACATTTGATTCGCATTTCAGAAGTTGAAGGAGAATTTTTGTTTCGAGTGGCTTATTTCCAATTCATGTTTGTAAGCAGAGTTTGTAACGATAGTAGCATTAGACTTTCTGCTAAGTTGAGCACTGACACTAATAAGTCACAGACCGAAGAATTTTAGTTTCCGTCGCAGCTTTTTCTGTTTTCAGTAGTCAAAGAATCTTCTGATATTATGAAAGCGTTTCTTTGTTTTAGCCAATTAATTACATCTTGTGCGTAGTACGTCTTAAATAACGACATAAACGGTAGGTATATCGTATTATTGTATTAGAATGAGGCGGAAGGCACGTAAAATGTGAACATGATTTTACCTTGCTTCTAAATTTGAATCTAATTTTAATTTTCTGAGTGTTTTAAACTTAAATAACCTAAACTTAACTTACTTTCCTTGCGAAGTTTAAGTTTTAAATTTAGCTGGTCAATGGATGTATCATTTATATAAATTGTAAACAAAACAGGGCCTAATACGGATTCCTGTGGGATACCATATACTTTAGAAGAAGAAACTTTATCTTTAACGTTCACAATTCGGTATCTAGCGTGCAATCAAATTTATAGCAACGTAATTTATTTCGCAGCATATTATGATTAAAACAATCAAAAGCTTTCGAAATGTCATAAAATGTGGCGCCCAAATGAATCCCATTTTCAAAACCTCTGACGACGTAGAGGTTGTATAGCTAAAGCTGTTGACTTCCTCTTTCGAAATCCGAATTGAGAAACGTTAGATATACAAATTATGCGATTCAAAATGAGAGCAGATTTATGTTCGCAGGGATTTTCCGAAAATTTTTCCAGTTGTAGGTGTAACGGATGCAGGTCTAATTTGATTTATGTCACCATTTTTAAACAGTGAGAAAACTTCTGACAGTTTTGGACAATCAGGAAGTAAAACGGATTTTATAGATTCATTGAATAGTTTTATTATATTGTTACGATAATTGGTGATTGAAACCGGCGTGGGTAAAATTCAACAATTTATTTCTTAGCAACTCAAATTTACACGACTAATTACACAGCGACTATGTACAAAATAATTCCGGCGCAACTTGACTGGATTCTCAACGCTCACTGGACTCAACTCGTTTCCGCAGGCGACCTCTATTTAAACCCTTACTTTCCTTATAGATGTTCCGCAATCGAGGTATTTCTGGAATACCCATCGTGAGTTCTGCTTCCAGGCCTTTCTTTAGCGAACGCTGCCCGACTACCGTAACCGACGATGAGTCACCCATCATCGCCGTACACACTAAAACGCATAGGCGTCGTACCGAGGCGGCGTATGGGTTTCTTTCGTAATCGATTCATTATTTTTGTATTCAGGTCATGAACATCATGATAATATCTCGAACTTCAGTATAACAAATCTCTTTAAAAGAAAAATCAGGACTGTCTTGATTTGATATTTTATTGTAATTAATTTGTTGCGGTATCAATTTGTCAACGAGTTCTTTAGGAATTATACAAAAAAAATTATGACCAGATTGGAATGGAGATTCGATTATCGTATTTTGACACGAAAATATGTAGTTAATTAGCTTCTAGGCGTTGCATGTATTTCCTCCGGAGGTTTCAATATATGAATCGTACGCTTGTGTTTTATCATCTTCAACAGCTGTATTGATTGTATTTATTTATTACGAAGTCGTTTCATGTCAATCAAAAGTTGAGGATTATTTGTTTTGATATAATTTTGATTATAATTAATGCCGCCTCTAATAAACGGAACGCTCTGCTCTGTACAGTTGAAAATAAGTTTAGTTTCTACTTTTCAAAGAATCAAAATAGTTTCGTGATTTTTTTCTACCTTTAATAATATAATTAACGAGATATCAAGGTGAATTAATGCGCTTAGTTAGTCGCGTTGTACATAGTGTTGCTCACATTTTTGGTTAAATTTGTGCAATACACAAATTTTAAAACGACTTTTATTTTCTTGTTTACTATTTTTTCTAGCCGCATTTTTTTTCTTTTAATTGATAAGGATTCTCAGAAAAAAAGGTTGACAATTATTAATATACTTAATTTCTCTTATATTTTATTCGATACTTAATTTAATAATTCTTTGAGCTGGTGTAATCAGCATTTTGCATGAGATAAATATCAATATCATGTAACAAAGATATAATGTAATAAAGAATTTTATGTATATTAAATAAATTGGGATAATTAATTGATCAAATAAACCGGTCCATTTTCTTTTTGCAAATACTTACTTAAAATTTTTAAGTAATCGTTTCGGTAGTTTAGGAGATCACATGATAAACATAGCGGCAGATTAATAGAAACGGAAAATTTGAATTTACTAGATATTTATAAAAGTGAATCGACTTTATTTCCAATATTGTCATTAGCCACTAGTCAGAAAAGTAAATGTTTTTTGTTTCATTACTGCCTATTCCTATTACAGCATTTTGCCTTTTCATTTGAAGGAAAATTACCTTTGTTTGAAAATCATTACGTATACAAATATTTCCTATAACAAATTCTGTTCACGAATAACTTTGATGGAAGAAGGGAAATCTAGATAAACTGGAGGAATTCCCTTTCACCAGACGGTAAAATCGCCGTGATTGCCTGTAGATCTTGACAGAATGAACAGCATCGTTATCAGGGAAGGGATGCTTTTGCAAAGTAAGGGCAAACGTGACCGGACTAAACACACAAAAACAGACCATAACACTGTAGTTTAATAAGCAGGGTTGTGCCTTTTATTTTCCTGCTAATTAAGATTGAAACTGCAGCAGCTTTACCTCTGGTTAAATCCGGGGTTAAATAGGGGGCCGTTACTATAGAAGAACAATTCCATCGACGGTCCTGAAACACAGTCTGGCACGTTTCCGCCGCCACGGTAGCCGCTTTTTGTACGTGCGGCATCGCTTCCATGGTGCTTCTACACAATTTCGCCTGGAGCTTGGCTAAACCGAATCTTCGGCGTGCTATACCACATGGCGAACGAGTACCGGAGCGGATGCCTCTGCCCGGATTATTGTTGACTGAACTCAAATTCCAGTGTAAATTGGAATGCTGAAGGGACCTAAAACGATTAAAAAGGTGACTCTGATAATAAAAAAAAGTTAAGTTGGCGTGCTATAGCATTTTTTAATTCTCAAAGAGAATATTTTGTGTGTAATTTAAACGAATTATCTACGACAACTGCTAAATATACTTAACACTGTTGGTATTAAATAAACATTTATAGCAATTACAAGTTTAAACAATTTAATATTTATAATCGGTTCTGCTAATTTGTCAAACCTAATGATTTCAGGATTCCATCACAGTTGAGGATTTAAAAAGGTAACGTTGCGTTGAGTAGTAAATCATTTAAAAGTTTTTTTTTATTACTTAAGAAGTCACTGCTAGCCAGGATGAAACAAATGCAAAAATGACATGACCATAAGGATGTTATGTGTTAGGCTAGCCACATTTTAATTTCCGTTTATAGAAATTAACTGATAAATGTTCACGAATTTTAAAAATGTTAACTTTAAGAACATGTGGAATTCTGACTCTCATATCTTCGAATCAGTTGCTATAACCTCACTCGTATTACGTTTCGCGTACTTACATTTTTTGGATATTTGTCAGCGGGTTGGCTTAGGAGAAGCATCAATGAAAGTGTTTTTAAACCTATTAATTAATTAGTAGCAAGATAACACACACACATAGAGAGCACAAAGAAAGATTCAAGATGCAAGCTTTAAATATAGGTTTTAATGTCCGTGGTTCCCAGACAGGTCAACCGATTTTAATGCGTTTTGTTTGAAAGCTGGTTTAATCGGGATGGTTCTTACCTATGTTTACCTTTCAAGATCATTAGCTGAGAATCGTAACACGGTTGGTGTAGGAATTAGTTTGCGTGAAAATTTGATAGCGCGTCGACCATCGCAGCTAATCTTAACTATATAATTTCAGTCACGAACATCCACCAGTACTAATCAGCTCGTTTCGCGATAAGGTGAGGGTAGGACGTCAATAGTCGCAACGATTCTTAACCAATTTCAGACTATTTATGAGTTCATTCTTTTTGGCTGGAGATTTTAGGTACTGCTTTTCAAGCTATAGAATCTGATACGAAAATACGCAAGGCTAGAAGAAAATATAATATTCCGTATTCATCTTTACATGCAAGATCAATTAATCAGTTAATATGCCCCATTCTCGTATTGGTAGGAAAACTGTATTTACTCTAAATTAAAACAGAGAAATGGCAATCGCCTTATGAAATTGGCAGATACCTTGTATGTTTCTCATCATGATCTTAGAAAAATAGCACACGAATATCAGAACGAAATAAGATTAAAAATGTATTTAGCAAAGAAAGACGTCTGGCCGGTAAAGACTGGATCTTTGGTTTTCGTGAAAGAAATCCAACATTTCTTTGCGTAAACCTGAAGCCAGTAATATAAAAGGAATTGAAGGATTCAACAAACAAGATGTTGGGGAATTTTTGGTTAATTTAGAGGAAACTAAGAATATGTATCTGAGGAAAAGGATAGATAAATCCGAAGAATAAATATCACAATCCCCCGTTATTCAACAAAATGATGACTTCTGTCCTTATCAGATAATTAAAACTAGGAAATTAGCTCCCAGAACATCAGATTTAGATTTGATACTAAACTCATCCTGCAGAGTTCTGAAAAATCTTTTTTCAGATTGTAACTCAACTTTTTTACGTACTATATGGTCTATATCTACTAGTAAAAGTTCCAGAGCAAAGAAGAATACGAAGTTAAGAAAAAGACAACTGTCCATAACATTAACAGACACACTAATTAAGAAGTTTCTTCTTCTGCGAGAATATATATCCCGTTATCGTCTATCTGTCTGTCTGTCTGATTGGTGTCTGTATCCATTTTTATTAGATAAGTAATCTCCGAAATTATTAGACCGATTGTTGTCATTTTTGTATGTATATCAGGAATATCATGTAGATGATTAAACGCTAACTAAAATTTGGCTATTCATCCTCACCCCCAATGGGATGACGTCATCTCCAAAATTTATAATAAAAAGTCTTTTTAAATTTGACAAAATAAAATACGCCTGCATCTCTGGTGTGTCGAATTTCCACCCTAGACACCCAGAATCTTTGGAAAAAATTCAAAACTGAATAACAATATTTTGCAGTATAACTTTGAAACTACAAAACCTATTGCTCCGAAATCTTCTAAATATTTTAAGGTTATCGTAATCATGGTAAATCGTTAAGCAAAATTTATTCGTTTAAACGGGCCAATTTCAAGTTGGTTTGCAATTAATTGCAAGCTGCGTTGCTATGGTAACCTCGCAAAAATATAATGGTTTGTATTAAGAGTTCTACGAGATCACCATAGCAACGGCGCTTACAATTAATTGCAAACCAACTTGAAATTGGCCCGTCAGTCCCTTTCAAAAAATTGATGACGTCATCTCAAAATTTTGCCGAATAAATCCTATCCAAAATGTGCAAAATATGATGAGTCTATACTTGTGATTTATCATTACATTAAAAGTTTTTAAATTTCTTATACAGGGTGACTCATAAAAATTAATGAATGAGTCAATTTATTTTACTGATTAAATTGGGAATGGCTCCGTTTTCCCGAAAATTGACGTTTCATGGCCCCTAGAATACGAAAATTCATATAGGTCTCTTGTTTCCGTCGTTTGTGTACATATATTACTATATTAGGAATATCGTGTAGATGGTAAAACTCTAACCAAAATTTGTCTCTCTTACAATTTTGCCGAATAAATGTAAAATATGCACAATATTAATTCTAGAAATTACAGAAATTCTAAAATTCTGACCGAATTTGTGGAATGATTTCAAATGTTGTGAAAGTTCCCAATATTCTAAACCTTTCAAAGCTTTTAAGGCTTTCAAGGATGCCAAAAACTCTAAGGACTACAAGGATTTCACGAATTTTAAAAAATTAATAAAAATTAGCGAAGCCGGCAATTTAAAAATTCTAAAGGATTTCAAAAATTCCGAAGATTCAGATTCCACAGATTCCAAATATATTTGAAAATTGGAAAGGTGATAAAAATCCTAAAGATCTAAAAATATTTAAAATTCTAGAGATACTAAAGTATCTAAAAATAATGACAATCTGAAAGCTTATAGAAATTCTAGTGATTCTAGATTCTAGAGATTCTAAATATTCCAAAGTTTCCAGTGGTTTGAAAGATTCAAAAAGTATAAAAGCTTTCACGGATTACATACACTAGAAATTGCGAATTGTAAAGAAATAAACTAAAGTTCTAATGTTCTAAATATAAAAGGATCCAATAAAATCTTAAAAATTTAAAAAACCTGGAGATACTAATGATCCTAGGAATTGCAGAAATTTTAGGCTTTATAAAACTCCTAGTAATTCCCGAAGTATTCAAAATTTCCGTAGAGTGGAAAGACTCTAAAGAGTAAATACTGTAAAGACTAATAAAGATTTTAAAGGCTCTAAAGGGTCTAAAGAGTCTAAGGACTTTAAGGGATCAAACGCCAAAATTCTGTTTCGAATACTTACAAGATTCTAAAAGTTCTAAAGAAATTCCAAAAAGCCAAAGATTCTAAAACTTGTAAAATGCTTTCTTTATTTTTTGTAAATCCTAAAAGCACTGAAGGCCTTGAACACCCTAATTATTATCTTATAAATCTTGGAGACTGTAATGATTCCAGAGATTAGAAAAATTCCAAAGATTTATACTCTTGAGATCTATAAATGTTAGAAAAACAAATTTAGGAAGTGAGGAAAAAATGAATCTTGAAAATATTGGAAAAGGTTGAATTTCAAAATTCTGGTATAACAGGTATAATTTTAGACATTTTGTAAAATGTGGAAATTCTGGTCATTTTGTGTATTTCGGAAAATTTGAAAAATTGGACTAATCTGGAAAATCTCAACATTCTGGAAATTTTGAAACTTTTGCAAATTTCGAAAATTCTCAACAATTAAAAGAAAATAAAAAAATATTAAATTTCAAAATTTCAAAAGTTTACACAATCCTAAGATTATTGATATTCCAAATGTTTAAAAGGTTTCAAACATTTCAAAAATTCTAAAGACTCAACACATTCTAAAAACCTTAAAAGTTTTCATACGCTAGAATTTGCGAATAATGTAGACACCAAAGATGCTAAATGAACTAAAGTTTTAGTTCTAAATAGAAGAAACATCCAACAAAATCTTCAAAATCATAAAGATCTTGGAAGTATTTATGTTTCTAGAAATTATAAAAATTCTAAAAACTTTATAAAATTTCTAGTAATTCTGAAGTATCTAAATTTCCTAAGATTGTTAAGACTCTAAGGACTCTGAAAACTCTAAAGATTCTAAATATTCTAAGGATTCAATCAAACATTAAAAAGGTTTTTAAAATTCTGTTTCAATATTTCAAACAAAACAAAACATGACGAAAATTTTAAAGATTTTAAAAATTGTAAAAATCTGAAGAATGCTTCCTTTAATTTTTATAAATCCTACAAGTATTAGGGGTCCAGAACACCCTAATTATTATCTTCTACATCTCAGAGATTCTAAAAATTCCAGATATTCCAAAAATTTCAAAGATTTAAAGTCTCTTGGGGTCTATTAATTTTAGAAAATCTGGAAATATCTAGAAACTGTGAAGAATGTGAAAGACCTAGAAATCTTGAAAACTGAGGAAAAAGTTGAATTCTGGCATATTTTTAAATAACATTTAGAAAATCTGGAACTTCTAGAAATTTAAAAAATTTACTCAATTCTAGAAATTCTACACATTTTACTGATTTTATGAAAATCTTCCAAATACTGTGAAAGATCAAAGTCTTCTCTAAATTTCAAAAATTCCGAGGATTCCAAGGGTGCCCAAACTATAAGGAGTCTATTAATATTATAAAAAAATTATATTGAAAAACTGACTTAACTATAAAGATGAAAAAAAAAATTCTCGAATTTAAAGTTGATAATAATTTGTTGTATTAGTTCGAGTGTACTTTAGGGGCTAGGGAAGTTCTGTCGAAATAATTTTCAACCAATTTTTTTTATTTTTGTAGTCAATTCTTTA